TCGGGGAGGGAAAAAAAATAGCGAATATCGTGACTCCGGGTGGAACAGATTTTTTGCTATCGCACGTTAAAGTTGAGCACAAGTTTGTTCGGTGGACAGATTTTTTGTTAGTCGCAGCTTAAAGTTGTACATAAGTTTGCTATATATAGTATATATATATTGATGAATAATTTACTATTTATTTAAAAATTTTACCAAAACAATTAAATTTATAATTAGCAAAACTATTAAAATAACATAATACCGTATTTTTAAATCATTGAAAATTCTAGAGAAATTGGAAAAATACAAATACTCTTTTAGAAAAATAATATTTAATATTTAAATTCCAGAAAATTATTTAAACTCGCATTAGAAATTTACGGTCATTACAGTATCAAGCATAAGTTTTTATACTTGGTATCAAACACAAGTTTTTGTGCTTAGTAGTGAGGTGACACATCCCTCTCCACTCATTAAAATCTATGAGAAAAATGAGTATGATATGTATCAAGCACAAATTTTATGCTTGGTAGTGAGGTGCCATATTCCCATCCACTCATTCCAATTCCCAACCATTCCCCAATCCATGTAAATGTGGGCCCCGATTTCAATGAGTGGAGGGGAATATACCACCTCACTACCAAGCACAAAAACTTGTGCTTGCTACCAAGCATACCCATTTCTCTCTCTCTTTCTCTCTCTTATTCGTATCTGTTTTGCATCGCTAATTCCATTCATTTTAAGCATAGCCTTCTTTTCTTGTTTTTTTCCGATTTCATCTTCATTACCTTTTAGCACTTGTTACTTCTTTCGTGTATTTTAGTTTTTATGTCATTTTACTATCTGATATCATATTAGCTTTTGCTGCAGGATTATTTAGCAAACCCATCAACCACAGATATGGCCTACAATGTACTCATCGATCATGCACTTGCAGAAAGAGATAGAAGGTGTTTTATAGTTTTTTCCCAAACGCTATAATCTCATTGGTCTCTATCTCTTCTTATCTTCATGCTACCCATCTTTAGTGTGTTGCATCTATGTTTCTTTAACCAATACTATTGGCTAAAATACCAGATTGAACGGCCTAAATAGTGACAACCTTTACCACTTTGGCTTAAAAAGTGACATTGACGATAATTTAACCTAAAAAGTAACAAATCGATGACAAATAGACTTTTCTAGTCACCAGAGTTATTTTTTAGCAAAAAATAAAGAAATTTTATATATAGACCACTCAATCTCTCATGATTTTTAAATTTATCCATCTCCTTTCCCTAAATTCCTGAAATTTGTGAAAAAAACATCCTCTTTTTTTTGCTATCTTCTTCCTCTTTTCCACCATCTTCTCCGTTCCCTTATTCTTCTTATACCCTGACATTCCCTCCTCCCTCACTCCCTCTCCTATCTTATTTCATGGATCATCACACTTACTTTCTAATTTCCCTCATCTCCTCCAATCTTTTTTACTCCAAATCCCCAACATCTCCTCCTCTCTCCAAATCCCTCTTCCTTCTTCTCATCTTCCTTTCTCTCACTCTCTCTTCCTACTTGCTTCACCCACTCCCAACACCCAAAATTAAACGTTCCACCACAAATCTTAACCTCATTCGTTTCTTCTTTTCTTGCACTCTCTCTTCCTCCTTGCTTCCTACTCCTCTTTCATCCTCCATTCATTAAAAAACCAATTTCTTAAAGAGTGAGGATATTTGGAAGAAAGGAGAGAGAATGGTGACGATTGGGGAAAAAAAGAATGAAAGAGATGACAAGAAGGATGAGAGAAAAGATGGTGGGAAGGGAGGAAGAGAGGATTTCTTTTTATAAATTTTAAAACTTGAGGGGTTAAATCAGAAAATATGAGAAATTTGAAGGGTATATATAAAAATCTTTTATTTTTCTTGCTTAAAATTGCTACGGGTGACCGGAAAGGTTTATTTGTTGCTGATTTGTTGCTTTTTAGGTTAAATTGTCGCTGGTGTCACTTTTTAGGCAAAAGTGGTAAAGAGGTGGCACTATTTAGGCCAATTTGGTATTTTAGCCCACTACTATTCTGCAAATTATCTTGTTTTTCTTCAAAACTTAGATTACTGATATTCTTTTAGTCATTAATAATCCATCTTTTTTGGTGTGAGGGCTACCACTTTGATGGTTCTTTTTAGACTGGTGCACATTAATAGTTCTCTAGAACTCAATTGGTGAAATGTTCTCTCCTATTCATCAAATGCTATAATTTCAGCTTAAATTTAGTAAAGAAACAGAGAAAACAGTAAACTTAGCCCCGACTCATTGTCAGATCCACATGATCACACTGCGATGTCAGCCCCACCTCAACTAAGAAACATGTACAGAAGAATAGAAGAGGAGGAAGAAGAAAGAACTATAATAAGCAGAAACGGTGCACGGGGGAACACTTAGACACCTGAGTAACTGGCCTGTGCGCGTGCATAGCCCACATAGGCCTATTGGAATGGCTTAACTGCATAATAACTAGATTGCATAGACCCAATTCAAGTGGGTTTAAACTACATTTGATTGTGTGTCAATGTTACAACATCTGTTTAAACCCTTATGTACCGTCCAAACAACTCACTCTCCCAGAGACTAGGCAAGGTTTATCCTTGTATGAATGAATAACCCATGTGGATCATTCAATGACATGGCCTATCGTGGCTTTCTTGGGAAGCTTTTCATGACGTATGTTTCGAGATGGTCTATTCTACGTGACTTATTTGTAGTGTTTAGGACTGGCACTATGATTTTAACAAAGTTTGATCCTTGATGAGTTGTATAATTGAAATTATGTTTTGAGTTTTTAATTAAGGTAGTTTGCCTTTTGTTTTCTGAATGACTCAGATCAGAGTGTGGCATACATGTTTTAAAACATGAAATATTATATTATTAGACTTTTGGTGTACGCATTTTCAGATGTCTATTCATGTCTGATCTGTACACATGTTCACAAATGCATGCATCTGTTAAATAACCATTGTGAATGCTCCTAAGAACCCAGCTAGCAGTCTGATTCTGCTTAATAATCCTTTGCGTACCACCAACCATTCAAAGTAGAATCTGTTCCTTAATTTCCAAGTTGGAAAAAGAAATAATCTCTGGTTGAAGAATCTAATTTGCTCTGCTAATAGAGATGTCTGATACTCCTGATAGCGAAGTTGCATTCTAACATTTTTATAATCTTATCAAAACCTTAAGTGCAGAAACCGAAGCACCATGATCCCTTGTGCCTACTTGTCTTGCTTTCTATAGAAGGAGAACTAGAATTAATGAATTAATAGTTTCCTCAACAAGAGTTAAAAACCCTTTTCTTATCTCATTTAGAATATACTTCCATTATGGTCAGAGTAATGGTTTATGCTGGTGAATGAAATACATCTTTTACACTTCTTTTTCATTAAGTAACCAGTGCAAACACGGCATATTTGAAACATTTTTCTAATGTTTGTTGTATTTTGGATCAGCCCAGCAGTGGTCCCAAGGTGCGTGGCATTGTTAAAAAAGTATCTTCTTCGGTAAGTTATTTCACAGTGCTTTCCAAGATTTGATTGGAGTTTAAGTGATAATATTTTATACAACAATCATAATGAAAATGCTGGATTTTTAATTTTTAAATTTTTGGGTGTGTTTGGGTTTTTTTTTGGGCCGGGGGGGGGGGGGGGGGGTGAAGGAAGAGAAGTGTTTCTTTCTACAATGTTAAATATGATATCAGATCGCTTTCTTACTTGCAGATATGTACCAAAGGTGCAGATATTGCGACAGATTGATCATTTTTGCGCAAACTCAATTATTGAGTGTGATTCTATAGCCAATCCAAGAGTATCATTATGGTCCAAGTCATTAAGTCAACAACCTGGGACATCATCAGTTACATCAAATGCTTTATCCCCTTCTTTGCATGCATCTAATTTTGCTTCTCCTTCACTTGTCAAGTCATTATGTTATGTTCGATCCTTGGTGGCACGCCATATTCCTAAACTATCCTTCCAACCATCAGGCCACTCTGGCGGCTCAGCTTCTATGAAGCAGTTGCTTCCGACACTATCATCTTTTCTGAGCAGGTCTGTTACTTCCCATTTAAGCCCAGAAGTAGTCAGTAGCAGGGAATCTCCACAAAGGAAAGAAGGACCGGTTCAATCAGCTTTAAGCCTTTCTAGTCTTGACAATGTTGAAGAAGGAGATAGTAATAGGAACATTTCTGTTGACCTCCTCACATGGAGATGGTCTATTGATTCTTCATTTTCCGCAAGAGAAAGGTAGCTCTCAGGTTTCTGTCTCTCTTTGCATAGTAAAGTGGTGTCTGAATTTATTGCCTTTTTTAGACTTTCAGATTTTAAATGTCAATTGGTAAGAAGTATTAATTTGCTCCAAAGTTGGTAAATGTTCACTTGATTTCTTTGTCATCCCAGTGACGGTATTATGAGACCCCAAGATGTCCGGTCACATGGCTTTCTGGAAGTGGGTGCTGCTGCTCTTCTTGTAGGAGATGTGGAGGCAAAAGCAAAAGATCAGTCTTGGAAACATACTGGAAATCAAGATTTATGTGATATTGACCAACTGTTGCAGCCTTCAATGGCTACAATGGCATCTAATTTTGCATCCTCTCACAGCCATTTAAAAGCAATTACCGCCTCTAAACGCTTGAAACCTGGTCCTCAACAAACCTGGTAAGTTTTCTTTGTTTTCCCCCCATTTTTCCTTCTGCTATGTTTTCCCTTTATTTTTCTTTTTTTCCTTCTTGGTTTGCTTTATTTAGCTCTTCCCTGTTTGCAGTCTGTATCTTTTTAAGGACCTTGACAGAGTATTACCTCTGTTTTCTATATGTAGGGGTGCAAAACGGTTCGGATTTCTATCGACTGATCCGAACTGCATCCGAATTTGTTATGGATTTGGTTGATAAAATTGCAAACTGATCAGATCCAGATCCTGATTTGGGTCTCCATTTTCAATTTTAAAACATATGTGGATCCGGTTTTACTCAAGAAAACCGGATCTGAGTCAGGATATTGGCTCCATCCGCATGATTTCTGAAGCAATTCCCACCACGTGATGATTGTATTTAAAAAGGAATCTTGCCTAAGAAAGAGCCGTCTACTGATTTGACATTATGGAGCACACCCTGCTTTTAATATATTATTATTTTATTACAGTGTTTCCTTACACTTTCTTTATCTAGCCTTATCCATTAGGCATCTGGTCTAGTGAAGTTAATATGTGCTATTGTGTTAGCTTTGTTATATTTTTTAATTGTTTTTTTAAGAATATTATTCCCTTAAATCATAGGTATTTTGACATTAGTTCCCCAAATCTTCATATTTTGATATTAGTCCCCCACATTACCTTAATATGTTGATGAAGTCCTTCCATCAGCTTATATGTTAAAAACCCTACACCATGGTTGGTGTTAGACTAACCATGAATGTGGAATTACCTTATTACCTCTCCCCCTCTCTGACCTCCTCCATCTCCTCCACCACCGCTCCCTCTCCTCCATCACTGCCACCGCCATGTCCACCACCGCCATCTTCACCTCTTCCTGTAATTCTCACCGCCGCCTCCATCTCCTCCACCACCATCTCCACCTCCGTCATCTCCATCTCCACCACCACAACTACCGGTATTATCACCTCTCTAATATCTTCCATCACCACCATCGCCATCTCCACCACCACCATTTTCACATCCGCCTGTATTCTCATCGCCTCCTCCACCTCCACCACCACCATCCCCACCTCCATCATCTCCACCTCCACCACCACAACCACTGATGTTATTGCCTCTCTAATGTCCGAACCATATCCATTTTTGCTTTTTGTGGATATGGTTATAACTTTTTTACCGAAGAAAACTGTGTCTGTATCCGTTTTAGGAAAGCGGATATGGATATGCTAAGTCTCATGTCCGAACCACATCCAGACTGTTTGCACCCCTAGCTATATGCCTTTAATTACTAGGGTGTAACTTGGAACCTTGGTAATGATGCTTGCTAGTAACACACTGTCAGTGACCCACAATCTAGCTTTTGCCTTGTAACCTTCGTTTCTTTAAAACCTCTGTACAGAATGTTTATGTTTCCTATTCAGATGCATAAACAAGTCATCCTTTTGATCCTAAGAGATGCACAACTTAGTTCAAGTATAATGTTATCTTTGATGCCTATCTCTCTGCACAAATTTCCCTGAAATGCGTTGAGTTGGGATATTACATCCTATTTTAACATCATTCAAGAATAGGTTTGATAAATTGTTGCTTGTTTCTCTGCATTTTAAATTTTACAATGCTAATAGTTTACTAAAAATACATGCATATATTTTGATGCTTATAAATGTTTGCTGTAACACAGTGGTGCCATATGTGTTGCATGTATGATGCTTTATTTTCTCTATATGACCAATTTTAAAACATTTCTTCAGGACGACTGTACCAGTGAGCACTTATCAACCACGAGCCCGCCCTCTCTTTCAGTATAGACACTACAGGTACTGCAAAGTTTATGGCAACCATCTTTTTTGCTTTAATACTCATCAAAAACTTGTGCTTGCGTTAGCCTGTACTTGAGACTGAAAATAAACATCATTTCTCCTTTTTACCGTTTATGGGGACTTACGAGACATTGTGACTTATGATAAAAAAATTCATCATATCCTGGTTCAATAGTTTTCCATAATGAGTGCCTATGTGGTATAGTGGTAAAGCTTTTTAGCATGTGCAAGCTGAATGAGGTTTGAAACCTGCTCGCATCAGTCTATACCTATTCTAGTGAAGAAAAAGTAGTTCTCTATAACATGTGAAGTTATAAGGGGTTCTACAATATGTTGAGGATTTCATGGAACCAAACAACCATTATCCTCGTACTTTGGGTTGGGTTTTCTTCCCAAATTGAACAAAGTTCTAAAGGGCTAACCAGTGATGCAGATTTCTGAAGGCGATATGGTATTATACTATTATATAATCACAATGTAGTAACTGTAATATCCGTTGGTAATCATTTTAATTTATTGTATAGTTAGCATGCTTCCTTTTTAAGCTTGAAATGAATCTGATCTTAACTCTTCATCTTATATAATATGAGAGACTCAAATTTCAAACCTTTGATTTGGGACATTAAAGGGAAAAATCTTCAACTAGCAAACAGTCACAAAATGTAGTTTTTGAGCTTCTCAACTCCGTCATTCTCCATAGCTGCACTGCACCATTTTGGTTGGAAATTTTGTGACTGTTTGCTAATTGAAGATTTTTTCCCCTTTAATATTTGCTTCTCAACTTGATCATTCTTTGTAGCTGCACTCAGTGTTATTGAGGCGCGCGCCCCGGGCGCGGGGCGCTTCAGCCTGGGCGAAATGCGCCCTGCACGCGAGGCGGGGCGCTGCACGCAGCGAGGCGCGCGCCTCGCGTGCGCCTCGCGTGCGCCTCGCTCGCGCCTCGCGTGCGCCTCGCGCGCGCCTCACGTGCGCCTCGCGCGCGCCTCACGTGCGCCTCACACCTGCGTTATGTAACATACTCTTTCTCATCTTTTCAAGCTAAGTAGCAAATATCAATTAAGAATACTAACTAGAAAATTATAAACAGTCATGTTTGTTAATTATATTTCTTAGTCTTTTTATGTGACAATTTATAAACATATGCTCATAATTGTTAATCACTTAATTTGATGATTTAAATACATGTTTCTTGTATCTTTTTTGTTACTTTAAAAATTCAGTTAGCATAATTGATGATTTAAGTTGATATTCTCATAATTTTGGATGTAGGTAACTAATATGTTGCTTATATGTTTCTGTCTTATGATGTTGGTAAATATTAATTTGAGTTATGCGCCTCAGTTAGTGAGGCGCGCGCCTTGTTGTGCGCCTTGCGCATGGTGCGCGTAAGGGACCTTTGCGTCCCGCATTGCGCCTTGCGCCTCGATAACACTGGCTGCACTGCACCATTTTGATTAGAAATTTAGGTAATAAACACTAATGCTTAATGCGGAACCACCTAACCCACACTATTTTGTAGAGTATCAAAGTTCCTGTAATTTACTGTCCCAAACTACCAACAATAAATTGATATATGTTCACCTAGAAGAGGAAAGTGTTGCTACATCTTTGGCAAGAAAGATATTAAATTGTATGACAAATGCCAATGGATAATATGATTTCTATTGTAATAATCATTGATGTCATAATCAGAGTTGAGGTATAGGTCATGTCATATCCAGGGTAAGCGTGTTGCTTGTCCATTGAAAGGTCAGAGCAGCAGATTCCAGCAATTTGACTAAGCTTATCTTGATCAATAATGACTAGACGAGGAAATCTGAGGTTTATAGTACCAAGAGTTGATTAGACAGTGTTGTATAAATAATAATAATAATAAATGAATGACTGGGGAACTTGCAATTCAACTTATTTCATAATCCATAATATCGCAATCCCTGAACCTCGTGATGTTGATACCAACTAGTGCAATTGAAACTGGAACCAATACTGAGATTCCAAACCTTTTTCTTAATATAGTTCTTCCAATTATGCAAAGAACTTGTTACCTGCACAGCATGGTTACTTTAGTAGTGAAGTTGTACTTGTGTCAGAATGCCAGTGTCAGAATGCCAACAACACTCATGTCAGACAGACATTTCCTCGACCACTCCTCCGATATGTGCAGGATACTCCTCAAACATTTTCATAATTATATAATTATATGATATAATTTCTAAGTTGGGAAACTTGTTGGACATTTTCTGGACAAATGTTTTATCATACATTTCTCTTTAACATTTAGACGTTTGAGATATTTATTTACTTTTACTTATACATAAAATACTACTTTAGTGGAAAAGACAATCAAATTACTAATTTGTATTGGGTTTTTTCAATTATAGCCCCTTAAAATCTTTCATCTTTTAAAGTTAGTCCTTCAAATAATTGAAATTGCTGTTAGGTTTGCCGATTCTTAAGTTATTTTAAATTAAACCCTGAAATCATCAAAATTGCGTTTAGGTCCCCCGATTCGCATAAGTTTTCTCAAATTGATCTCTCAAATTTCTACATTTACTCTCAATTGGAGGGATTAATTTCAAAATAACTTAAGAAGTAGGAGGTCTAGTAGCAATTTCAGTTATTAAGGGGCTAATTTAACTTAAGAATTGGGACACCTAATAGCAATTTCAATGATTTGTGGGAACTAGTTATGAAAAAATTGAGGGACTAATATGGAAAAAACCCATTTGTATAAAATTGTGATTAGCTTAGATCTGTTTAGTTACTCTATAATGTTGAATAGTTAATGTCGATCCTTTTGCAAAATCATAACAATATGTTCTAACATACATTTAATCATCATATGTTTAACATTATCACAAATAGTTGTGCAGATTTTTTTATGCATGTGTCTACTTGCAATTATTTTTAAGCCATCAATCATTTGAACATTATTCTAGCTTTTTGATGATTATTCTAAAACTTTAAGGAGTAATCGTATGTATACTTCTAATTGGAGGTTCTGTCCTTTGCATCACTTGTTTAGATAGTTTTTAAATGTGCTTACCAGGATTCTTCCAGTTCTTACTAGGTAAAGCTTTTTTTTTGATGTTTTATTTCTCCCCTCACTTATTATTATTTTTAACATATATCAGTGAGCAGCAACCATTGCGATTGAACCCTGCTGAAATTAGTGAAGTCATTGCTGAAGTTTGCTCTGAATCCTCTTCATCAAATGTGAATATTCATACTGCATCATCACCATTAACAAATCTCAGCAGACGTCCTCCTACAGATGTTGCCGTCAGTGTCCTTGTTAAACTTGTCATTGACATGTATGCTCAATTGATCCAGTTCTTTTAAAAAAACTTATTTATCGTAATTAAACTTCTTGCAAGTCTTTTATGCTCGCTAATGGTTTTAGCTGTTGTTGGCTTTTTTTTTCATGGGAACATCTGTCTGTAATTTAGAGTTAATCTGATTATCTCGTTTTTTCTGTTTCATTTAATCATTGACACTTATGTTTTTGTTATGCATATTTTAGGTGATTCCCATTGTAAAGAATCTTTCATCATGACTTTCTTGTTAAATGAGAAACACCAGATCAATAATATTTGCAATATAACTAAATACGACATGCTGAAACTTTCTTGGATATTAAGCCACGTTTTGATAAATTTGCTATTCGGACTGATGTATTGCTGAATTGCTCATAGCTCCATGCTTACTAATACTTCCTCAATCATTATTGTCTTTCAGTGTATAGAGGCTCATCAAAGTTGTACCAACTTGCAAAACTTCTCCTATACTTGTACCTTCTCTCAGGTTCTTTGACATTCCTACTGGGTTCCAACACACAGACTTATTTCCATTATTCTTAAAAGCAGCCCTATTTTGGCATCACGCTTCCATTGATCTCATGCCTCCTAAATCACTCTATCAACTCTTTAAAATTGCCAAGAAATGATTCTATTGTTACCTGGCTTGCTAACTTGGAACTGCCAACTGATTGCCTGCAGAGCATAAGTTTTGACTGCAATGCTTCAGCCAGGAGAGACTGATTAATGAATTTGTATGTTTTGTGGTCTTATTATCTGTACCTGCAGGCCCAATTCTTGTCAGGGTTCTAAACGCAAACATGTTTCTACTTGTGATAAACAGCTTTTATCATCTATTGCTAAATGCATGCCTTCCTATAAAAGTGAAGCACATGATACTTATTTTAAATTTCATCAATGAAGGCAGGAAATGAAAATCTCTCACTAAAAACAGATTGAAGTCACGAAAATATTACTTAATCTATATATTTGTGCTATATACCCAACCCAAAAGAAAACAAAACGCTCCTTTACATGAAATGGAAGGGAGTCTGTTGCAGGGTGAACATTCAGGTACTTCTGACAGGCCTATTGTATTAAAATTAGAATTTGATGATTCCCTGCTTGTCCGCATATTTGTCTGCCTAACCTTTGGAGTCTGGTAATGAAATGAATCAATTCAAGCTTATAGTTTGCTTTTGTAGGTATATGATGGATCCAGGCGCTGCTGCTCCTCTTGCTCTTTCAATGTTGGAGGTGCTAAATTTTGCATCATGACTTTGTTGGGGGCAGATATAGCCAAGATTTCTTACTTTGTTATTTTTCTTTCAGGACATTCTTGGTTCACAAAAAGTGGCTTCCAGAGTTCGGGCTTTTGACTTGATTCTAAACCTAGGTGTTCATGCACAATTACTGGAACCTGTATTACATGAAGATTCTTTAACAATTGAAGAAGACGAATCTCTTCAGGAATCTGTTTTGAATGATGCAGAACAGCCAATACCACCAATAAAAACAAATCTGGAGTCCACAATGCAGCAAAGAATGGCTTCTGCTATTGATAAGTTTGAATCGTGGCTATTAGCGATTCTTTTTGAGATTCTTTGGTTTCTTGTTCAGGTAATTGTATTAAGGCATTTTGTGTTAATTAAGTTAGGTCTTGGTAGTTGTTAGACTAACAGACGTGCATTCTCACACAAAAAGGGAAAAGACGTGGCACTCTACTGTTTTATTTGGTTGTAATGGCGGGTGAACATATAAGGTCTGTAATGCTAAGGTTTAACAACGGTGGCATGGTTCATTTTTTTTTAGCAGCATGACTCTTTTCTGGATTCTTGCATTCATCTTTCATCAAGAAGTGAGACCACTCTTTACATGCAACTAATTAGTTAATTACTGTACATAAATATTCTTTCTTCGTGACTTTATCTGTCATCAATTTTGAACTGTTGTTAGCATTTTTATCTACTCGTGTTGTCAGGGCTTCCATCTAACAAGCTTTCCTTAGTGTGGAAGAACATTCAGCTATTTTGCTAGGAAGTGTATACTTCTTTGTTGCATGTAACTACACTTGATAAGAAATTATTAATTAAGTTAGAAGAGGGTCATAATTTTATTTGCTGGAAAAAAATTTGCTTTTTTGCTGTAGTCTGTCTTTTAGTCCTTTGGTATAGTGGTGTCTGATTAATGTGTCATTTATCCTTTAGATTTCACTCAGATATATTGTCTGTATTTCCATATTTTTGAAAAAGAAAAAAAAGCTTTTCTCTTCTCCATCACAGTTCTTTTGACCTTGATTAATCTTCATCAACTTTTGTAGACAGAAGAACAAGAGGAAATTGTGTGGGCCTCTGCTCTTAGCTGTTTGTTTTATTTTGTTTGTGATGGAGGAAAAATTTTGCGCACCAGATTGGATGGGCTTGACATAAGGGTGAGCAATTATTTAACTGCTATTTCATTATTCTAGATATGTTTATATACCTCTGTAGTCGGTCTAATATTTTATTTATCTATTTTGTTTGATAAGATTTATCTAAGTGAACTTTCTAGACCGATTGGCATATACATTTGTATTATGATTTCAAACTTCAACAGGCATGTTGATGCAGGACAAAATAGTTTCAGATTGTTGCTATTGAGATTTGGAAATTTGTGATGATTTAGTTTTAGTTAGGATGAGGTAAATTTAATTAGGGTTGAAAATTTGTTATTTAGTTAGAATTGAATTTGTTATTTTCACAGGATATGTTATTTGAGGTTATTTGTCAGTTAGGATTTTATTTGCTATTAGGATTTGTTTTACTGAATATGAATGTACTTTCATAAACTTTCTCCTCCCCAAGAAGTACAACCATATTTATGGGCTAAAATAAAATCCTTATAACAAATTAAATCCTAATGACAGATAATATCAAATAACAAATCCTAACAAATTCAATCCTGATTAAATTATGTGATCCTGACTAAAATTGAAATCATAATAAATTTTTCTAATCTCAACTGCAACATTTTGTAACTTCCTTGTCCTGCATCACATGCCTATGTTGTTGTGTGAGCATCATCTTACTTCTTATGTTCTTTTTTATCTTTGATATACAGGTTATTAAGAGCCTTCTGGAAATCAGCCGAAAACACTCATGGGCAGAAATAGTTCATTGCAGGCTCATTTGCGTGTTGACAAATATGTTTTATCGGGTTCCAAATGAAACTGTGGAAGCTCTTTCTGATGATCCTATATTTCTTGCTGAACAAGTTGAAATTCTTGGAGGAATTGACTTCATTTGCCTAGAGGTTTGTAATGAACACCTCCTTTTACATAAACACGACATTATTTTCCTTCTTTTACATAAATATGATGTTATTTTATTAATTTTCTTAAATTAATCAATTTTCTGAACTATAAGTATCGTAATACCTCAAACTTCAGAACCTGTTCTCCTTAAAAGGAGTTCGTGATATTCTTCTCATGAAGATCTGCCTTCTTGCTAAAGAATTTGTGGCATGTGCATGGGTCATATGTGTTTAATAATTAACAGCTCAGGTTGCAAGCTCTAAGATTATTTGCTTAACATGCCTTCTTTATACCGTGGTTTATTTTTCTCATGCTTCAAAAGGTTATTAAATTTGTCTGATCATAAAGGATTGGACCAGCTGAAACAACATTATCATCGAGATTTTGAGACTTCTTTGCTTGGCTGTGCAGTATTCACAGGCTAACTCAAAGGAAGAAAAGAGAAATCTGTTTCTGGTTCTTTTCGACTATGTGGTACATCTGATCAATGAAACTTGCTTGGCTTCTGGTGTCTCTGCTTATACATATGAAGAGACTCAACTTGTTGCTGCCATGCTTAGTCTCGCAGATGCGCCTGAAGCCTTTTACATTGCTGTGAAGCATGGTGTGGAAGGCATTGGGGAGATTCTAAGAAGGCCAATTTCTGCTGCTATGTCTAGATCAACAAACTATGAACGACTAGATCTGGTAATCTGAAATATTCAAAATCATTATAATTTATCTGATTATGGATGTTAAGTGGGAATAACTGAAGTATAAAATGATAGTATGTGACTATAAGATTATCATGTTGGTCCTTTAAAAAATAAGCAGGTACTGTTTTTGAAGTTGTCTACTTATGGTACGAATACAATGATCCAAAAACAAAACATTAGATCTGTTTAGCACCCTTCCCTCTTAGTTTATTTTGATTTTTACATCTATGGTATTTGTTTTATTCTTTACCTCAATGTGGTATACATCATGATATATATTATTATCTCCTGTTACCTATAATGTGTTCTAGTATCCTGATACAATTTGGTATTTAGGAAAGGTTGGTGAGAAGTTTATTTTACAATTTCTTAGAGTGTCAGGATAGTTTGATGCTTAGGTATCCTTTAGTACAAAATGTGATGTTTTACCTTGAAAGAATTTGTTTTCTTCATTTTGCATTACCTGGTCAATAACTATGCAGTTACGAGAAAATAGTGCAGCGCTTCATTTCTTCTTATGTCCTTTTCCTATCCCTTCTAATCAGTACTTTCCTCCTTCATTATGGCATGTAGAAGATTAAATATTAGCGAAATGTCATAATAAACATACAAATTTTGATTGTGTGATAGATAATCTGAAAATTAATACATAGATGCTATTCTTGCTTTTGTTGTAAATAGTTTATCTAACAACAATTTTTTGTGGTGTAGCTCTTGGACAAGGTCACAAGGAAACTTGATGCTACGATAAGTTCATTCACTCGTTTAGATAAAGAGTTCTCATATATGATTCAGATAACAAAATCATACACTTCTTTTAATAGCATCGAAGAAAGGCTGGGAGAAACTGATGGCATGAGAGTTCGCCTTTCTTGGGCTACTTTGCACTCTCTTCTTCACTCAGATACGGCTGCTTATCACCATAATGGGTATATTTGGCTAACCGAGTTGCTTCTTTTAGAAATAAGTGAAGATAGAAATAGAAGTATATGGGGGAATATTAGAAAATTTCAGGAACAAATTGGAGAAGCTGGCAGTCAGGACTTAACATCTTCTTCAGTTCCATTGTCTATTAGTTTACTCTATGGGCTTTTGAAGTCAAAACACAACTACATCAGATGGGGATTTCTCTTTGTTTTGGATAAACTTCTCATGCGTTTGAAACTGCTGTTAGATGAGCGCGAGCTACAGAGTACAAGCCATGGGGATACTGTATGTTTCGGCCATAGTGAAAACCGTTTGGAGAAAGCAAATGCAGTTGTGGACATAATGAGCTGCGCTTTGTCTCTTGTAGTTCAAAGGAACGAGACTGATCGTATCAATATCTTAAAGGTATATTTTGATGTATCTTTTAACATTTAACCTTTTCTTCTCTAGTTGAAATAATCTCTACTAGCTTCTTCTGACTCTTATTAGAATACCTCATAACATGATTTAGTTGGAAAATCAAGCTATGAGATGAACGCTTCCTACATAACTGCTTTTATTTACCCATAACAATCTCATTAAAGCTGTTGATTGGAAATTGTTGTGATTAAAGTGTTTAACTGTAAAGCTGAGTTTGCACTTCTAATATTTCATTGACATTTTAATTCAATGATTAAGATAGTTGACCAATGCTAATAATTGGTTTTCACTTTATTTTGTCAATAGTTATTTCCATTTTCCTGAGTAACTAATCAGTGCCCTAGTGTATGAAGAGTGCAGAAACCATTATTTGCATATAACTCACTTTAATTATTGTTTCTATACGCAAATACTTGAACTTGACAGCATTTATGTAATAGAGTTCTGGGTCACTGTATCCTTTATCTAATTTGGATACCGTCTCTGCAGATGTGTGACATTTTATTTTCTCAATTATGTCTGAGGCTACAATCTCCAAATGGAATGCCTCTTGAGAACTTCAAATGTCACGCTAAACAGTTTGGGACCAGTGAAAGTTACAAGAGCGAATGCACATCAATGCCACAAACCCCTCAAGAGACGAAGAATGTCTATAGAGACGAGTTGCCAGGAAAGGATCAGTCCAGTCTAGTTTATGAAACTGCATCAATGGCGGCATTGCTTCTACGAGGACATGCTATGGTTCCAATGCAGTTAGTGGCCCGTGTTCCTGAGTCATTGTTCTATTGGCCATTAATACAACTTGCTGGTGCAGCAACCGATGACATTGCACTAGATGTTGCTGTCGGCAGCAAAGGAGGAGGAAATCTTCCTGGTGCTACATCAGATATTCGAGCAGCACTTCTCTTGCTTTTGATTGGTAAATGCAGTGTTGATTCAAATGCGTTTCTGGAAGTTGAAGGAGAGGAGTTTTTCAGGTACTTTGTGTACCCATCTGTGAAATGTCATTTAGTAGTAAAAATGCACATCCAATGTTACATGTTTGGGCTGAAATGAACTTAGTAAGTAAATGTATGTTATTTTTAGGTAACTCAATTGTAGGTATTGATGGAACATTAGGAAATTTTCACCGAAATATTCAGTAAATTATGGTTATTATGATAGTACATATGACGCTTTGGTGGACTGAAATACAAAATTAACCTGTAAGATATTTGCTAGACCGTATGACACATCTAAAAAGATAAATATAAATGCTTTTGTTCGTGTTACTCAAATCTAATTCAAATGGTAATTGTAGACATGCTCCAATGTTTCATTAGATATTATAGTTATCTCTAGTTTGGGTGGATGTCATGTGGACGGGGAGATATCTTTGTGGTATATTACGGAGGAGCATTACCTTATATTTTCTTGATATATGGATCTACTGTGGCTGATTCATCTAAATAAGACATGACAAGATCAGTCATAAATATAAATGCTTTTGGTTGCCTACACAAATCTAATTCAAATTGTAACTATAAAGTATAGATTTACACTTCAATGTCTACAAAACGATTATAAATTTATAATTATCCCTAGCTTGGGTGGCTCTCATGCAGAGAGGGATGAGATATTCTTGTGATATATTATTGAGGAGCACTAGCTTTTTTTCTTTTTTTGAATCTATGGATTTACTGTGGCTGATTCATCTGAACAATACATGAAAAGATCAGTCATAGATCACAAATGGTTTCTCAATTTACATTAGAATCAATTAATAAGGGGAATTTGGTTCACTGGCCAGTGGCTCACAATATGGGCAATTTGTTCACTGACCATGTGGGCCCCATACTAGGTTAATATAAAATTCCTACGCCTTGCTGAAGCCTTAACTTGATGCCCATCTGAGACATGCCAGGGACTGTTAGATGATACAGACTCGAGGGTGGCTTACTATTCTTCAGCTTTCCTTTTAAAGGTATGCCATTATATTTTTCTCATACATGAAGTTTCTGCTCCCATCTTATCGTACCTTAACATTTACGTGTTCTTTGCTGTCACAGAGAATGATGACGGAACAACCTGAGAAGTACCAGCGCATGCTTCAAAGTCTTATAATCAAAGCACAACAGGTAAGGGAGCATTCTTATGTTTCGACATTCTTACTCCAGCTTGACTGAGGATTTAGTGTGCTAACATTTTGATGTGTTTCTACAATCTAGAGCAACAATGAAAAGCTATTAGAGAATCCTTATCTCCAGATGCGTGGCATACTTAAGCTGTTGAATGATCCTGGAGCTTAATATTATTGTCATCCGAGTTATATTAGATTGGATTTTGTGGCAAACAAACACACAAACAGTGGACAGTCTTCTGCAGATTTAAGGCTTTGTTACCTAGAAAGCTTGTGAGTTTTTCAAGGAAAGCAAGCCAAAATATGTGGAGCCAAACATGAATGATACCATAAGGTAATCGTCATGATCTTATTCTAAACTGAAGTGTGGAGAAATATGTACCCGTTAGACTAGGAAACAAAGGTCTTGAGTCTTGACTCATGAGTAAGAGCCTGGTTTCATCAGCAGTTATATAGGAAAGAGAACACAAGAATAGGGGGAAATAACAAAGTCATTTCTTTCATTTACTTTTCTGCTTTTCTTTTTTCTTTCCCCTTTTATGAAATGCTTTTGTTTTCTTTGTTTGGGTAAATCACTATAATATCCATAGGGTGAGCTATAAGCAGGTCTTCCTATTAAGATTATCTGTTGGCCAAAGTGGACTGCCTTTGCCAACGTTACTGTTTTTTTTATTTATATAAATATAAAGCAGCTGTCTAATATATGTCATCAGTGCTGATGTCGCATAATATCTTTGGTTATGTTGCCATTTTACTCATAACTAGTTCTTACTTGTGTGATGCACAGGGCTGAATTAATATCCTTGTATGGATATTAGGCTTTTGGGTGAAGAAAGAGGATAATACTAAGCTTTTTTTGGAAAGAGAGAACAAAATGAATTATTTATTGGAAATTGGTAGCTGAAGAATAGGGTTTTCCAAGATGTGTTGGGTAGTGGATTAAGATGAGATGATGGAAAAAAATTATTATTAATTACTAAATGTTAGAGCCCTTAGAATTTGTCAAGTGGCAAAAACAGGCAACTAGGTTTTTACGTTATTATTATAGTATTATTGATTCCACTTTAATGAATGTTTTTCTCGGTTATTATTGCAGGTATCTGAGGAAAGCTTGTAAACTTCAAGTGCTGGCTTTTTAATTACTACAGCCAAAGCATATGCCATGTACAGAAATTTTTGAGTTGCTCTATTCATTTGATTGATTCATTTTAGTTTACTTCAGAATCTTGCAGTCAGAATGACGAACATGCAGATTTTTTTTCCCTTCGTTGTTCAGGTGCCAACTATTCCGAAACCTTAAATATGAAACTAGAGTTTATAGACAGAAACTTCTCTTGATATCTTGATATCTATTTTTTCAAGTTTTTTATTTTATTCTATATAGCTTTCTGACTGCAGGCATTTGAAGTGTATGGGGTTTTGCAGGCTGGAGCCATCCCACTCTTCCCCAAATTTTGTAAGCTCGTCTCTTGAGCCGAGGTTTATGCAGATTTTTTGTGAGGCATCCTCGGGTAATAATAACAGTTCTCAGAGATTGAAGTCCCTAGAACAACTATTTATTGAGAAATAACATATTGAGCATGTAGTAACATTACAGCCATTTTTGGAAGGTTGGTAGTTGCACTGCAGTTGCTTCTTTTTTATCTTTCACTTTTTATCTTTTTCATGTTGTAAATGAATGAATTGTATGGTAGGATTCTGTTTATCTTGGAAGGTTTGTAAAATATTGTGTGGGGAATTACATTATTCAAGTTTTCTATTTATGATGGATACAGTTCTCTTCAGCCTGCTGTAAGAGTGCCATTATGTCAAGTGACATGAAAGTTAGCTCATTTGATTGTTTGAAACCTCCGGGGTTGAAATATGTCTTATAAGAGAATTGGGACGTATTATTTTGCTCAAACAATCATATTGTTTTGTTAAAAGCACAGAAAGTTTTTGCTAGAAAACCGCCTGTTAGCTTGAATCTAGTTCAGAGCATCTAACGTTTTTAGGACGGTTGGTGGGCAAAATATGTTTTCAATCAGTCGTCATTTAATATACGGTAGTTCTTTTGATGAGATCTGGAGCTCGTTGACTTTTATGGAAGGATGCTACATTATTGAGTATTTATGATTGACAAAACGTCTCCACTGCTGCAATGAGAAAAGTCAACCACGTTCATTCGGCAAAAATAACAGTGAACTTTGCTAGATGCGATCGCTATTCAGAGCTTGATGTTTCTTGCAAAGCATAAGAGCTGCAATTTATGATGTCATAAGCCATACAGTGTTCGGACTCGGTTCAGGCAAATATAGAGAAACAAGCCTACGCTTTGGATGGTTGACAGTAACAAATATTACAGAATATTCTGCCAATTCATATTATTCTTAATTTCAAGCCTCACAACTGTTTAGAATGTAAAATCACAAACTTAAACATTATTGCTTATATCGAAATTTCTAATTGAAGCACACACGTCCATTTCGCATTTTGAACATCAAATAAAATTTGGTAACTCTAGTAGCACGGTTCCAAAAATATAAAATATTCATTACAAGCACATTCGAGATACTTGAACAAGAAAAGGAGGGCTTTGTAAATTAACTGTAGCGTTGCCTTCTACATCACTCGGGCTCCAAAGCCCGTGTACGGGTTCAATTCAAACGGATGCAACAGTGCTGCATCTTCCATTAAATGACATTATACCAAGGGGAAGCATATTATATCAGTGAAGCTCCTAAAAACATCAGATCAAATTGATACGATGAATTGAAAAATCTCTTGCGCTGCAAAAAATAATGCAAGGATTCAACGTAAAACCACCATTCGCAACCAACAACTTTTGGGGAATAAAGTTTAGAGACAGCCTGACGAACATAACTGAATTAAATGTCATCACAAACTTGTCATCAAACAAAATAACAAATATAAACATTCCTAAAGGTGAAAATCATCAAGAATAAATACAACTTGCAATAGCTGGTCATACAAAGGTGGTGAATAGAAAAAGGTAACATGTATGCATGCAATAACAAATCCTGAGAATACGAAGAAGAAAAAGAGGAAAACTTCGAAACTCTAATCTACAATGATAAAGGCCTTGTAAGATTCGTCGTCTTCTAAACAACAAATCCTGAGTAAACAAAGGAAAAGAGGAAAACTTTGAAACTCTAATCTGCAGTGATAAAGGCCTTGTAAGATTCGTCTTCTAAACATTCTGACATGGGCTTCATATAATTATGGCAATGTACAGTAATCTACCAATAAAGAATGCAAACAGTTACTATACATCCAAAGGATAAAAGTGAAAATCGTCAAGAATAAATATATGTCTCAATAACTGGACATCCAAAGGAGAAAGAAAACAGGTAACAGGTATGTGCATCTTATAAAGTTGATAACAGACCTATTAATATACATCAAGGGATTAGCTATACAAGCTCCTACGGAAATCGTCATATCTTCCAAAGACAAATGTGAATGGCAACTTGCATGGAAATGTTTAGCTCCATACTACAACCTGTTCGCCTTGAGAACTCAACAAATGGCTCTATAAAACTAAATGCCGACAAATAAACATGCAATGTAACCTTTAAATTGAACTAGTATAGAAACTTCACCCTGTTCATGTGCAATTGGAAACCAGAAGTGGCATTTGCATTCTTACGAATTTGAGTGAACATGAACCATGCTGCTAAATTTCAAAGCTCAAACACGGCAGCAGTTTCATCCGTATAACCTTCTATATCCAAGAACGTAAGTTCAAAAAGGCCCACAGATAGAATAACAAGAAAGCTGACAAACATTTCAAGGGTTTGAGTTACCTGGCTAGTCAATAGATGCTTAATAGTGTCTCCTACAAAGTTGAACTCTAGCCCAATGGTGTCGTTAGAAATCAGCATGCTCTAATAAATTGATGCATGTGATATCAATTCTTAATTACCACCAAGTTGATATCAGATACACAAAGATGAAAAGACGCTGATGGATGCTTAAAACAAGGTCCTACTGCCACAAGTATAAACTGATTTCCCCCACAGTTTCATAATGTAGGGAGCTGAAGGGAGCCACTGAAATATTCACTAGTAACCCACCTGACAACCAAAGCAGAAAGATAATGTATTAGTTTTGGTTGTGATAAAGCAAACAACTTGAATATAAAATGATAATAAAACTATCAATGGTAAGTTATAAGTACATGCATCTAATTACAAACTTAAGTGCGTTGTAGAGGCATGTTACCTTCAAACGGTAGCACTCATATACACGCCTGAGGAACTAGGATCAGATTGCTCGACTGCAGATGCATCATTTGCAAATTCACTTTACTGCTTGCACTACTTTTGCATGACAATTTGAAGGCCTTTAGTGCATGAATGGAAAGTGAGAAGCAAGATGAACAATGTGAATTGATAGGCAGTCACCAGAAGTCCATTTAAGCCAAGTAGCACGTTGAAATAAAACAGGAAGAATAAAAATAAATCCCACAAAACCCCCATACAACCAGTGAAACATTTTTAACAGTTCCATCTCCCTTTCATACAGTACCAAGATAGTAAAATACACAACTCATTTAGCAGTTATCTCCAGCAAGCAAGCAAACAATTGCAGCACACTTAAGAAAGCCAGGGGAACTTCAGTTAAGTCTGCATGGCTTCTGAATGATACTTGTCTAGATCAGCATCAAGATCTGCAGCAGAAACTGGCTCGGAACGGCCTCTTCCTTGTCCACCGCCACCTCTTCCCCTTCCAC